GCACTGGTAAAAGCAGATATCCTTGTTTTTCCTGATCTTAGGAAAAAGTTTTCAGTCTATTATCATCATGATGTTAGCTGTGGGATTTTCCATAAATTTCCTTTATAATGATAAGGAAATCCCCTTGTATTCCTAGTTTTGATGGGTGTTTTTATTATGAAAGTATTTTTTCCAAGTGCTTATTCTGCATTAATTGTGGTGATCCTGTGGCTTTTCTCCTTTATTCTATTAATATGGTGTACTACGTTGATTTTCTTATGTTATATTTTTTGCAATCCGGGGATAAATTTCACTAAGTCATAGTGTGCAATCTTCTAAATATGCTGCAGGATTCAGTTTGCTGGCATTTTTTCAAGAATTTTTGCATCTATATTCATAAGGGGTATTGGCCTGTAGTTTCCTTTTCTTGTAATATCTTAGTTTGGTTTCAGTATCAGGGTAACATAGGCCTCATAAAATGAGTTAGGAAGATTGGTGTTAATTATTCTTTAAATGGTTGAATTCACCAGTTAAGCCAACTGGTCTGGACTTTTTTTTTGTTGGGAAGTTTTTGATAACTGATTCATCTTCTTGTTATAAGTTTTATTAGCTTTCCTATTTATTTTAAATAAGTTTTGCTAATTTGTGTATTTCTAGGAATTTGCCCACTTCATCTAGATTATCCAGTATTTTGGTGTAGAGTTAGTTGTTCATAGTACTCTTAAATACAATTCTCCCCCCCCCCCATAGCATAGATAATAATATCTCTGTGTTTATTCTTGATTTTATTTATTCACATCTTTCTTTTTTCCTTTGTCAGTGTAGCTAAAGGTTTATCAATTTTGTTGATCTTTTCTGAAATCCAACTTTTGTTTCATTGATTCTCTTTATTAGTTTTCTATTCTCTATTTCATTTATCACCACACTGATGATCCTTTTTATTTCCTTTCCCCTGCTAACTTAGGTTTTAGATCACTCTTCTTTTTCTGGCTCCTTAAGATGGAACTATAGGTTGTTGATTTTAGGTCTTTTATATTTTTCAATGTAGGCATTGACTGGTGTAAATTTCCTTCTGAGCACTGCTTTCTCTGTATCCCATAAGTTTTGGTATATTGTGCTTTCACTGTTATTTGTTTCTGTTTTCTAATTTTTCTGTGATTTCTTCTTTGACCGATTGTTTGTCTGCTGTTTAATTTCCATATATTTGTCAATTTTCCAGTTGACCTTCTTTTAGTGATTTGTAGCATCATTTCATTGTGGTATGAAAAGATACTTTGTCTGACATCAGTATTTTTAAATATATTGAAACTTGTTTTGTAGCCTAACATATGGGCTCTTTTGGCAAATGCTTGATACGCACATAAGAAGAATATATGTTGTTGAGTGTAGTCATTAAAATATGTCTGTTAGGTCTAGTTGGCTTATCGTGTTAAGTCACTTATTTCCTTACTGATCTTCTCTCTAGATGTTCTATCCATTACTGCAAGTGGGGTATTGAAATCTTCAACTATTATTTTAAACCTGTCAGTTTCTTTCTTTAACTCTGTCAGTGTTTGCTTCATATATTTGGGGCCTCTCTTGTTTGGGGTTTATATGCTTATGATTGTTTTGCCTTCTACATGAATTAATCTTTTTATCAATACATAATATATATTTTTTTCTCATGTAACAGTTTTTTTACTTAGTCTATTTTGCCTGATATTAGTATAAGCTACCCAAGCTCTCTTTTATTTACTATTTGCATGAAATATCATTTTCTTCATCCTTTCATTTTCCATACCTTTGTTTTTTTAGATACAAAATGTTTCTTACAGAATATAATTGGATGATGTTTATTTTTTGTCCATTTGACCAATCTTCATCTTTTCTTGAATAATTTAACTCATTTACATTTAAAATAATTACTGATGCAGAAGGACTTACGTTTGCCTTTTTTTTATAAGTCTTATACCTTTTTTGTTTCTCTGGGATAGTTTCTGATAATTTTATCTGTAAAATGGGCACACTTTCTTGTTTCTTTTCATGATTCAAAACTGTTTTTGAGAACTATACATTTTTAATGTTATAATGTTGTAATTCTGGAATTTTCTCCCTTCTCAGGGTTTGTCGTTTTTGTTTCTAGCTGACCACCAGAGCTGTTGTTTTGCTTAGTGACTTTTCTAAACAATTTTTCAAAAGTCTGTATTCTTCATTATGTGTGATCTCTGAAGTCTTTATTTCTTAGTTTGTATTCAGCTAGTGTTCTGGCAGATTTTTTTTTTTTTTTTGAACACGGGAGAGAGAAAGAAAGGAGAAGAGGGAGGAGGAGGAAGAGAGGGAAAGCGAAGAAAAAATTCTTCATTTTTTGAAGTTTGGCTCTGTGTTAGGATACTTCCATCAACACTTAGCCCCTTTACAATTCTGCCTTACCCTTCACTTCCTGCCTGCACTAATCTTAGAGACCACCAGAGGGTCTTCTCAGGTCTTTTCTGAGCATGTGTCCAGCCCTAGTTATGAGCATGACTGTCTAAATTTTTCAGTATGCTGGTCACTCTTTCCCAGGTTTTTCTCACAGGCTGTCATTACTCAATCCTGTTGACTCAACAGCTGCAGTGGCTCCTTTGACTTTCCATTTTTCCTTTCCAAGTGAGTTTTGAGGCAGGCAAAACAAAGACAAGCACCTCAGTTTACACAGCTCCCAGACAGGTTAGAACAGACAGATAAACACATTCCTTGTTAATAAGGTCCACTCTGCTCCCTCTGGAACTAGGGATCAGAGCCACACTGGGAACACAGACTGTCCCAAAGCTGGCAGAAGGGTGGGGAAAGGGCAAATGAAGATGTCACAAAGCTTTTCTAAACTTTTTCATGATTTGGGTTAATTAAACCTTTGACTATTTTCCAGAGTTCTGACAAAGTTGACTCTGACATTTCTGTGTGTGTATATATATATATATATATACACACACATATATATACACACACACACACACACACATACACACACACATACATACATACATATATAGGTATAATTTGTTTCTGTGGAAAGATGGACCCTTAGAGATGCCTATGCTGCATTTTCAGTGACATCACTTACAATTGGCAGTGTTTTTAACATATGTGAAATACTTAAATTTGTAATAATAATGTGCTACTATATAAAAGGACTGCAGGTCTTAATTTTTTATAAATAATTAGCCTCTTTTGCCCGACTGGTGTGGCTCAGTAGTTGAGCATCCACCTATGACCCTGGAGATCTCAGTTCGATTCCTGGTTGAGGGCTTGATCCCCAGTAGAGGGCCTGCAGGAGGCAGCCAATCAATGACTGTCTCTCACCATTGATGTTTCTCTCTCTCTCTTCTCTCTGTCTTTCTCTGAAATCAATTAAAAAATATATATGTAAAAATAATTAGCCTCTTTACTAGTTTAGTCAATTGAGAACTAAAATGGGGATAATAAAACACTGGATCCAAAGGACACAAACACTTCTTTGCAGTCTTTTCATATCTGTTTTAATTTTTTTGTGTGGAAAAGTCAGGAATTAGGTGGCCATTATTACTTCCTTTACTGTAGATTGATAACATACTCAAAACAAATTTATTCCTTTAAATGTTACTTTGTCTTTTTTTCTAGGTTAAATATGGGAGATGCTTTTACTTTAATCAGAGATTTTGCACTTACTGTTCAGTCCATCAGGTATAGTAAACACTTTTGCATTTAAAGATCATATAACCAGCTGAACATCATTAAGTAAAAATAACAATGATAATAATTTAAACATTTAATCTTTTACAGGATTTCACTGAGTGAATTATGTGATGACGAAGATGACAATGTTGTGTTAGCATTTAAACAACTAATTAAAGCATTCAGTTCAATCTTAGGAAAAAAAGCAATAGGCTGAATGTTAAACTTGACCCAAGTACTGTGTTCCTAGAAAATAGAGATGGTCAAGAAATTTCCTTGCCCTGTTGTGTTTCAGGAAATGGTTTACTGCAAAGAACCACCCTTTCTTCTATGACTTAGACTTATAGATGACCCTCTTGTTTACCTATGACAATCCTCAACATACCCTCCCAATTCCCATGTTTTGTCTCGTAAATGATTAATTTAACTGTTTTCTTCTGCTGACAAAATTCATGCTTATTTGACTTGACCAACTTCAGTCAGGTTTCTCCCCTCCCCACAGGTCCTAAACCTTAATCTACCCTTAGGACCCTCCTGAAAACTGCCTGGAGGCATTCTCAGATCAACGGTCCCTGAACCACTGTCCAATTTCATATCAACTATGATTGGGAAGGTCAGCCAAAGACATTGCCAGGTCCACTGTCCAATCACACCACACATTCATGCCATCCCTTCATACCTGATTATTTCTTAATTAAGCCTGTGTTCTTATCCCTAGAAATTAAATTTTTTTTCTGGCTGACCTTAGAGACCCCTGAAAATCTCATAGGCAGCGTGTTTTCTTATTTCATTAGCCCCCCCTTCCTATAGCAATAGGCCTCTCCACTTACTGCAATACATATTTTTTTCAAATAAAGTCTCTCATTGTTTAAGTCTGGATTTGTTTTTTATTTGACTTTCATTCTGTGCCAAAGAAACAAAATGCATTACCTAGCTAGAGTATAGAGTTCACAATTTATTGAACAGCTTATTGAAAGATGTCCAGTGAGGAAAGTTTTTATTTAGATATCTAAATCCTCACCATGAGTTCTAACAATGATTTTCTCCTTCTAAAAATTTATCTTGTATAGTAGCTATGCCAAATATCTCAAACAATTACTACTTTCAGTTTGAAATATGATATTTTTAAAGATAGAAGCCAAACCCAATTTAGAACACTATCACATCATACACCACAGCAGTAAGTTGAAATTTTTTTAAAAAATTAGTTATAGCTTATATTCAATATTATTTTGTATTAGTTTCAGGTATATAGCATAGTGGTTTGACAATCATATATTTTACAAAGTGTTGTCCTTGATATCTCCAGTACCCACCTGGCACCATGCATAGTTATTACAATAAATTATTGGTTTAGGTAATAAGTAAAAATCCAGTCTCACATAAATTTATCAATAGAGTTTTCTTTGGCTTAGAATAATTTTAAAAATAGAAAAAGAAATATGATTTTATACTTTTGTTTTAATGCTACTAACAATGCAAATTCATGACAAAATCTCTATTAGACATGTCTATCAAGAGGAGTATGCATCCTCCAAAGCCTTCCCTTGACTTAGTAGTCTTCAGCATCCCCAGCACAGATGGCAAGCAGAGCTTTTTCATAGTGCCCTGAAGCAAAATTCTGAAAGAAATAATGTATTTGAAATAAAACGTCAATATTTCTAAGAAGAACCCTGACTCCTCTGAACTACATTATGAAAGACCCATGGGCTATTAGATTTTCCAAAATTATTTACTTTTTTGGCTAAATATTTAATATATCCTGAGAATTATTCCCAGTGGAAGTTGTTGAATGGGGTTTATATAAAGTTGATTGAACCCTAATGTGTATTTATAAGAAGAATAACTTGAAGTAGAATTAAATCTTCTTCTCAACGTTAATAAGAGGTATCCTAATAATATTGCTATAAATCATTACAGTGTCTGGAGGGCAAACTGACAATATGCATTAAAAAGACTTCTAAATGCTTACATTCATTAATGAAGTAATTCTACTTCAAGAAATGTATCTTAAGGAAATAATTATCAATTATTGATGAGCACAAAGATTTATGCTAAAAAATATACACCATAATATTATGTATAATAGTTGAAAATTAAAAAGCAACATATAATACTGTGGAGTAGTCCATGTACTTTACAACTTATACAATAAAAATACTCTTCTAAGTAGTAAAACATTAATATTTATATACAGTTTTAAAAAGACAAAAAGCATCTAAAACAAATTTTATCATGGTTATCTGGGGTGGACAATTAAGGTAACTTTTATCTTCTTTTTATGACCTATAGTTTCTAAGTTTTTCAAAACAATGAGAGTAGTAAATAAATGGAATTCTGAAACCTATCTTTGTTAATAATCAACCATCACATTAATGTTCTCTTATATAATGTCACATAATTACAATTGACTGCTGCAAACCCACATAGTTAAGTGGCATTAGTATGTAAATATTAGTAGAGTTTGAGGTGGTTGTGATTACTTGCAGTAAATGTATTAGAATTAGTTTATTCATTTAGAAAATGAGTTATGACACACATTTCTCAATGAGAAATGTTTATCATCACTAAAAGTTTAGGGTTGTGAAGGTTGTAAGGGATGTAGGTTGAAGGGATGCAAGGAGAATTTTATCAAAGACATAAGAATAAGATTTCCCTTAACTGATGCAGCAGCACTTCCTCTTAAAAACCACTCTGGCTCCCCAGGGGCCTGTAAAGTCTGTTTCCTGTGGTCTCTTGGTCTTTGGGTTGTCGAGTTGCCTCTGGATCACTCTTTCAATGAAAAAGCCATCCATGCATTTGAGCATTTCAGTGTAAACCAATGTGAACAAGGTAGATAAGTGGGAAATAGAATTTAAAATATATTCTCAGGGCCCTGTGCTTGGTTTAATGCTCCACTGGTGCCATCTTGAAACTATAATTTTTTGTAAAAGGGATCAAGCCTTTTCATTTTCCATTGGGTACCAAAAATTACGTAGATGGTTCTATATATTCTGATAATTCTTTGCTAGGTTTTATCAAAATCCAGGGTAAAGTTGAGAAGTATCAGGATGATAAATCTGGCTTGTTTACTTCTGAATCATTGCTTTTTGCCCTTCAAGGGCTAACGGGATAGGAAGGTGCAGAATTTTACATATCAGTGTTAAATTCCTCCAGATTACCCTTTATGGGATTTGACTGGCTGCCTTGCCTTGTATGATAATATGAGAGGACATCTGTACTAATCTTGGAGGCCTCTTCACAATTAATGTGGTCGTGTTGCAAAGTGTGTTTTCTCAGTGCTGATCATACTTCAGAATTGAGCTCATAAAACACAGCTATGCAATTAGGAAATGGATGTTTTACATGACTACATCAATGATTTTTGCTTAAAACACACGAAGGAGGAGTAAGACCTGTAACCCCTGTGAAGGGATTTCCTCAGCACTGGGGATGCGCCGAAGGCTGGCTGATATACTGAAGTCGATTATCCCGGTCAGGTTGTTTAACATTTGAGATTCTAAACTGAAGTTATTGAAATTAAAGCTCTTATTTCAGTTTCTAAAAGGACAAACTATGGGTCCAAATAAATCACGTACGGGAGACTTACTTTGATATCATGAAATAGGGATTTTCCGTATCTCTCTTTGTACCGTTTCCTTATGGTCATCAGGTCTATTTCACTTCTGGCAATTAGAATCCTGATCACAGTTTTATTATGGAAACCAAAGTCCTAAAAGATACAGAAAAGAAAAAATGAGAAAACAGTACCCTCCAGTTGATCTGTCTGGAACAGACCCGTCCCCTCTTCTGGAGCAGCTTGCTCTCCTGCCTTACCCGTCAGCCCCTGGCATCGCGTCCCCAGAGGTCCCGAGTCACACCCTGAGTTGCCTCTGCCTTCCTCTCCTCGCTGTGCACACCCGCGCGAGGGAGGGTTCTGCCTGTTTTCCTTCTGACTCTCTTATTGTCAGTGGCCTAATCATTTCCCCCTGATTCTGCAATTTTCAGCCTTGTCAACCTTCACACATCGCATTATAAAATGCAAATCTTAGCATGTTCTCTTTCTAGGTGAAAATTCATCTTGGCCGGCAGGAGGAGTGGGGAGTTTGGGGCAAGGTGGGAGGAGATTCCAAACTCTTGTTAGATGAATGTTGATATCTCTGACGTAGCAGTTAACATTTTTATTTTATAGTCTGTTTAGGATTGAAAATTGTAAAAATAAAAATTCCAGGTACCTGAAATATTTGCTGATTTAAGCTCAAATGCCAAAAAATACAAAAAATCAATATTTGTGTACTAGCTTCAGAAAGGATACAGTTTTTTACAAATAGTTTAAATTGTCTTTTCAAATGGAGTAATGGTGACATCTAGTGGCCAGTAAGCATAAACTAATATTTGATGTCTGAATGTTTTAGGTGTAGACCCGCTAACAAGCTTTACCTAATTTGAGGTGACTGAATTATCTAACCAAATTTCCACATTTAACTCATATATCATTCACTGGAGAAAAACAGATATTTTTATTTAGTTAGGGGTAGTGAAAACAGCTTTTTACCAATATTTTACATTTAAGGGCCTCATGTATCAAAAATTTGATTATTTTATGAATAGAGAACCCCCTCTTTACTTTCAAACCATTTTGGGGTACACATAACTTATTTTTTGTGTTGCAACACACAGAGCAGTAGTACAGGTTTTATTTATTATTAGAATAAGTAGCCCTCATTTGGTTCTAAGTAGAATCGGAGTAATTGTGATTATGTTCCCGTGGTCACTCACAAGTGAAGCTTTATTCTGTTGTTGGAGAAGAAAACTGTTGGAATCATCCAATAGCATTACTCAATATACTATTATATAATTTTTTAATATCAAATCAACATCTTGTGCTTGGAAATAGAATAAAAGAGAAATGGAGGGCAGTGAGTACTTGACCTTCCTCCTGTGTTCTGAGGATACATAGATTCTTGCACATAAATTTTAAAAAAAACAAACACCTTTATACAAGACATATAACAGAAATATTCTTGACAATTAGTATATTATCCCAGCATGGTGGTTACTTTTAAGAAGTTTGTCTATTAAAATTTATTTGAGAATAAAACACTGATGATTAAAATTACTGTACTAGTGAATTATTTTTAATAATTTTCATTGATGTTTCAAGCCTTTGACGTATGTATAAGGATTTGTATCAGACCTTTTCTTTGTCTAAATATATTTCACACACATAATGGATAAGGTGTGAATTGTCTCAAGCATTTAAGTGTTTGTTTCTTTAAAAATGAATGCCCCAAAGGATATGAGATTGACTGGCACACTAAGCTATGAAAAACATTCTCACTGAATTACAAAAATAGCTTTAGAGTTTAATGTTGTCTAGCTATCTCTTTTTAAGTATTATTTTTATTTTATTTTTAAATTTTAATCCTCACCTGAGGATATTTTTTCCTTTGCTTTCAGAGAGAGTGGAAGGGGGAGGGAGAGAGAGAGAGAGAGAGAGACATTGATTGGTTGCCTCCTGCACGTCCCCACCTGGCTGGGGATCGAGCCTATAACCGTGGTATGTGCCCTTGGTCAGAATTGAACCTGGGACCCTTCAGTCTGCGGGCCAATGCTCCAACCACTGAGCAAAATTGGCCAGGGCTAAGTATTATTTTTAAAATAAGATTTTATGTTTAAAAATAGCCACTGATATTATTTTGTGTTTTCAAACTTCAGGAATGTAGCAATTTCTTATGGAGAGTTTTTAACATTTTGACATTTTCTGCTTGATGCCATACATTTTTATTCGCATTAAGGATGAGTTGGGGCCTTTGGAAAGATACAAAAACATATGGGCCCTGGCCGGGTGGCTCAGTTGGAGCACAATCCCATGCAGCAAAACGGTTGAGGGTTCAATTCCTGGTCAGGGCACATACCTAGGTTGGGGGTTTGATCCATGGTTGAGGTATATACGGGAGGCAACCAATCGATATTTCTCTCTCACACTGTCCTTCTTCTCTCTCTCTTTGTCCTCCTTCTCTCTCTAAAATCAATAAACATATCCTCAGGTTCGGATTAAGAAAAAAAAAGCATTTGGATTTACCAGTTTGTTTGGTTGCTAAGAAATGCTAAAGCATATGGAGGAGATAGGCCCTAAGGAATCATATTTCTTAGGTTCCTCAATTTGATACAGAAAGCAGAGCACTATTTCTATTCGATGGCTCTTATTTTGGTGTATAATATATTTTCACTTGAGTATACTTTCTTTTAAATGAGTGCATTTGCATACAAGTTTAAAAATGAAAACCTGAAAATCAATAGATAATGGAGTAAAACTAGTACTTTGAGGAAGTAGACATGATTTCTGGAGACATTTTAAAAATATATGGGTCATACTTACGTGGATTGCACTATATAATCTATAAGCAAAATAGGCTGGTTTGTCTCGAACACAGAGAACTACAAAAAAGAGATAAAAAACAGATTTTGAGAGTGACAATATATATTTTCTTCAAAATTTGAGAAACAATGAGCATACTCTTTTTCTGTTACACTCTTGGAAAGGTCTTTGTGAGTTCTATGTAGAATCTCTCACTATACACTGCATTACAATTTCAACATTTAGATTAGTAGTAAAACCATAATCAATAAAAAATAAAAAGAAACAACATAATGATTCATTCAGATTTTCATTTATCTCTCTATTGAAATTCACTTATTTCCTTCATAAAATGTATCCTATTTATCTGAAAATCAAATAAACAGAGCTTCAAAGAGGCCCAGGTCATCACCATTATAGATTTTTATTATTGTAGAATTTAGTGTGACATAGTTCCATGCAAATGGTTCATTTTCCCAAACACGATTTTTAGACTATAGATTTGTGAGTAGATCTGAGGTCTCTTATGGAGAAAATATATGAACAATAACTGGTCTATCCCAGTGTTAGAAGTCATCTAATCAAAATCATGATGGCATTAGAACAGCCTAGAGTCTCGTCAACAGTTGTCCTTGATGAAAGTCAGTTGACGATTATAGACATTCAATATTGTTTATTTGAATAAGTAAAAAAATTAATAAATGAATGATAATGTATACGAGGCTAAAACTTCTAAGGGAAATAAAATCATCATAACAGTGTTTTCTCCATAGTTCAAATGATTGATTTAGACTGTGAGACCAGGCCTTCATCGTTTACTTTTCTTATAACTGTGAACGCCATAAGCACTCTTGAGTTGCTGCTAGATTGCAAGTGCCTTCAGGACAGAGACTTTTGTTGTTGGTGTTTAGCTGTCCCACCTGCGGTGCCTAAATCAATGACCAAAATAGTAAGTACTCAACAATGAATGAACGTAGCAGTTAAATTATTTTCTGTTGTTTCTAATGTCCACTATGTCCTGTCTCACCCTCTCTGCTTTGTTTGTGGCCGTGGTCTAGTGGAAAGAGAGCTATCTTGAGACTCAGATGACCTGGGTTCTAGTTATAACTTTGTTGCTAATTAGTTGATAGACTTTGGAGTAGTCCCTTAACCCCCTTAAGCCTTGTTTGTAAAATGAGGAGTTTTAATGTACATAATTATTAAATTATGTTGAAAATTTACTGAAATATATGCACCTTATTCTCAGAAAAATAAACAGACAAATATTCATATTTTGTATACTATTATAAGGATTTCATTGAACCCACCAAACCTTTTTTATGGAACCCTAGCTTAAAGCTCCTTAAAATTCCGTTATCTCTCAGCTCCCGTGCCCATGTACATCTGTGCCACTCTATGGATGGAAAAATCACAATATTCATTTATTCAACAGATATCTGAGTACTTGATCTGTGTCTGCTATAGGCAACATTATCACAATGACCCCTCATCTGTAGTCCTTGCAACATGTGCTGTCAAGTTACAGCACAGCACAGAGTAAAGCGTGGGTAGTTAATAGTAGTTTCTATGGATAGTTACCACTGTTTTCCCTTTATGAAGGGATACTTCTTCTTACTTAGGAAGAAGTGGAAGGTATACCTTAAATCACTGCTAAAGTGAAACCTTGGTAAATCTTTTTCTATAGTTAAGACTTACCCCTAAAGGCAAATTTATTAGACATGGTAACAAAACACTTTTTCTCATGGAGAAAAAGAACCTATATTGCTAGCAGTAATCTGCTCTTTAACAAGGGAATGGAAGTCAGTGTACATAAAATGAATTTAAGGGTATGAGATCTCAATTACCTGAGACACAGCATTTGAGAATCCAATGTTTCCTAGTATGAAAGCTGAACCTGCTATTAGGGAAGGGTGTTCATTCATTAAAGTAATCAGGTTGCCAGCTTCATGCATTGTATCAGTAGCTAATGTACTTTTCCTCTATAAAGTTAACATCCCTTCTAAATAATTAAATTCAGGAGAAAGTGACTCAATCAAGAGCTTACTCATGCATCTTTAACATAATCAGAGCCAATTAGCATTTGTTGTGGAATAAAAGGTCTGCTGTAACCAAATAAATTATTACTTACCTATTGCAACTAGCAGCTCTTGAAAGTATCCATCGTAGCAGTCATTAATGGCATCTACTATGTCTTGCCCAGAAATATTTTGAAATTCCTGGAACACTTTAACAAATTGATATAATTCAATAGAAATATTATAAATTTGTAAATATGATACATTTAAAATACAAATATTGATTAGGTTGCTGTACATCATGAAGGTAAAGTATAGGGGTGGAAGTTGGGTTGAAGTAGATCATTTTTTAAAAAGTTGTATAGATTTCTGTGTGTTTTATATGTTAAAAAGAACATAAAAAAATTTAAAAAATAAGAGAAACACAAAGGTACAGCAGTCTGGGGAAAATCAAAGTGCAAACTAATATGAGTGCAACTCTTGGACCAATACGGCAGCTTCATGTAACTCATGGCGTCAAAAATAAGGATTTTGACTCACTATAGACGGAGTAATCTATGCTCACTATATTCTTTTCAAGAGAACATATACCATGCCTAACACTAAACAGCTAATATATTTGAGTAAGTTCTCCATCAAAAACAAAGATGGTTTTCAAAGGTTCATTATTTAAACGTTACATTCAGTTTTTGGAAAAAATAAAATGAAAGGGAAACTTCATTACTTAGTAAGGTCATTCGATGAGGCGTGTCTGAATAATCATAATGCAAAAGCAGTACCTTTGAGATAAATGGCTTTTTTCCATTTGTGTATTACATCCCCCCCCCAGTTTTTTCCCCCAGTTAACGACTTGCGTTCTATTATATAATCAGTTAAGTATCTAGAAAGAATCCCGGTTAATGATTACCCAGCCACAGCTGTTGGTAACTCTTGTTGCACAGGATCATTTGTAGCATGGTTTTGTGTTCCCCCGTCTTCTGCTGACAGGCTTCCCACAGGACCTGAAACATCACACACGCAGGAACTAGCACCGCACCCTCCCCAGGCCCCTTGAACGGTGGTTCTTTACAGGCAGTTTGAGAGCGGGCTCTGCTCACCATCGCGTCCTGAGCAGCCATGGCAGGGTCTGTGTATCCTTCCTCTCGGCTTCCCTGTAGGATAAACACAGGCTTTCCTTCGTAACTGCTCTCAGTTGACAACTCAGACCGAATTATTGGGACACAGTCTTTGAACCGCAAACTCATTGGTAATTCCTAAGAAACTTCTATCATTATTTAGAGCTAGCCTTGTATTTCTTGAATACTTTATTAAATATCTTTTCTTAAAATGTGTGTTCTTTTTGTTATTTTTTTTCCTTTGCAGCAGTGGTAATATTTCAAAGATGCAGAAATGTTTTTCACTTTTCCAACTTTCTGTGCGGTGTCTTCTTCCCCATCAAAAAGAGCATCCACTGCCTGGCCGTGGGTGGCAAAGATGGGATTTAACATGGTCAGAGGGCAAAGACACTGAGAAAGAATGAGCTACTATTCCGTCTCTGCCTTATGAAATAAGACATTATGCAACAAAATAATCATGAAACCTAGATTTTGTGGCGTGATAACATTTTGGAATTTGTTTCACTCCCAGCCCTTCGTCAGATAAAGAACAGGCATGGCCACGTTGACCTAAGGAATGGCCGTTTCAGGAGAGGAGGGAAGGAGGGAGCCACAGCGGGCCCCCGGGTCCCTGAGCATCCCGAGCACAAGAAGGAAGGAAAGGTGGAAGAGATGAGTGATCAGTTTGTTTAACCTTTCCTTTGGGTTGAGATCTGGAGGAAAGGCTTTTTTTTTTTTTCTCTCTTTCAAAAAAAGACATAATCTGTGCTGAGAAAACACTGAGGATAAAGTGGTTTCTGCTCCTATCATCTTTCCAAACTCAGGAAAGGGTCCCAAGCAGTGACACAGCATAATTGGGCAGAGGGAGGTGCTGAGTATAACTCTCTTGAATTTACCTTTAATGCCTAAATAGCATGAACGGGTATGTTATCACTCCACAAATTTCTTATCTGCTCCCGATGGAGGGACTGGCATGCTAGCTGAGAGCCTGGTTAGGGAGTGTGACAGATGGAATTGTCTACGACCACGGCAGGGACAGGCGGTTCCAGGAGCCAAGGGCTACATGGTAGACCATGGGGCTGGAAATGTGTGAGACACAGCTGGACCTTAGGAGGATTCTTCAGCTCCAGCGAAAGCAAAGGTGAGACTAAACCATCACGAAAGGTTACTTAGCTCTGACCAAATGGAGACCAAAAAAAAAAATTTTTTTAAATCTCGTAAATTCACCAGCTGTATGGTTTGACAGAGAACACTGAGAAACACTCATATCCTGAACTTCTACTCATATGCTACATGTCCAGAGTTGCCCAGAACTGCCTTTCCATAGCTGAGATGAGCAAGGATGCGGGAAACATCCTCATGATGTGAGGACACTAGCACTCTTCTGCTGCTAAGACACCCTCATAAACCACACACACCTCTTCACCAAGTGCCTTCTTAGAAGGAGAAAGGAGGGCCAGAAATCTCACAGTTGAGTGTCTAACTCAATAAACATATAAATGAGATTGACCGTGTATGCTCACATGGACTGTTCCACATATCGTATGGATTAAATTTGCCGTATTAGATGAAATATTAAGGGTCCCCCCCCCCCGTGCTAACCAAAAGTTGGAGGCATATGAAAAAGATCCATGTATTCATAGAGAAATTTTCTTGTGAGTAAATTTGTAGCCCTGGAAATTTAATATTTTTAATCATGACTGAGAAGTTGTGTATTATCTAGAGGAGTATAGCTAAGGAAAGACTGATTGAGCCTATTGGACACATTTTTTTCCTGCTTCATTTTATTTGCTTAAAATACCTGGTGACTAAGAATGTATACATGCAATTCTTATTTTTGAAATCTGTGTATTTATGCACATAACTGTGTTTTATACATATATGAGCAAGGAATAGAAGACATTTAGAGTGAACATACTTTTATTGAAAGGTAAGATATGGGTGTTATTTTATTTTCAAATTACGGCAGTGTTGAGATATAGGGACCTTAAAGATTGTGTAGTTTTGACCCTTGGAGATAAAAAATAAATGGGCTTATAGATATTAAGTGAATTAACCAAGGTCTGATTGTTAGAAAGGGATGGTTATTCTATTTCAGTGCTATTTCTGTCCCTGGGATTTGGTTACTATACTTTTAGGCTAAAGAACTCATTATTTTCAGACAATCTCCTCTGCTTACTCTCTTATGGTTTTAATTTACACAAAGCAAGAAACTGCTAAAAGCAATTAATACACTATATCTTCTGTGGATATATAGCAATATATAGCAGTTACTTAATAACAAAAACTTATCATAGTAATTCTTAGGCTTCAGCTTATTTGACCTATCAATAGAAGTTGAAGTAATTGGTCACTCTCTCCTCCTTGCTATATATTCATCACTGGGCTTCCAGGATCCTCACTCTCTTTTCCTTTCTTTCTACTGCACTGGTTAGTCCCTTTTACTTTTCCATCTCTTGTTCTTGTCTGTACTTACGATCCTTCCCTTGTTAATCTTCACCAAGCATGTGACTTTAAGTCGTTCACATTGTCTTAGTGATTTCCAATTAAACTATATAGCTAAGTAAACATGTACCCTTGGAGTGTTTGTGAGAAATATTTAAGATTTTTCTGCAGTCCTGTGTATCTGAATTTTTTTGAAAGATAAGATTTTCGGACATTTAGCTGGAATGGTACCTCTCTGTTTACTTCTTTGTGCAGTTAATGGCCAGGAGCACTTTAAGAAGACTGATGGGTTAGGAGGATGTGAATTAGTTAAGTCTGTGATTTAGCTTTTCCCACCAAGGCAGAGTCAAGCTGATTTTGTCATATAAAAAAAAGCCTGAGATGTGAATGGCATCAACGAGCACAGAAGTTGGATTAGGGGCAAAATAAAAACGTGAAAGGAAGAAATAAAGGGACTTAGAATATAGCTGAAGACATTTGGAGCAGGTAAATTGACACAGGTGATCACGGGAAGCCTTTGGCAATAACATCCCAGGCCTCCCTGTACAAGCCTGAGGAGCAGTCATGAGGGGAATCCTGACAGCCAAGACCAGGAGATAGTTGGGTAGTTTCCATTCTTTCCATCCAGCTGGGTAGTTTCCATTCTTTCTCTTTATGAAAATATTTATCATCCCCAGTGTGATTTGCACATATTGATGAGTTAATCTCTAAGTGACTCATTTTTCATTATTTGACAGATAATTAGATCTCCTGTAACTCTAGTTTGATAAAAGCACACAGGAAGTGTTGTGAGCCAGTTTAATGATTGGCATTAGTTTTTAAGAAGAACATGTTCTGGTTGAATTGTTAACTTATTAGAAATAGCCTTGTAGGAAAATACTCTATAGAGTAAATGAAAGATCTTCTTTCCCAGAAATTATGACAGTAATTTTCAGTGCTTTCCATTTCATGAACACCTTAAGGCTCCAGTGCTCTAATTCCCTCAATCTCTGTTAATTCACAAAAAGAGGTGTGTCTTAATGTTCACGGTGTGAGAAAGATGAAAGCCATGGACAGTCTTTCCTTTGATTCTGAGAGTCACATGCAGAGGGAGGCAGAGAATATAATGATAATAATGGAAGAAATTTAGAATATTTGTATTAGGAGGGCATTGAGAGAAGGATGGGTTGACATCCCTTAATTTACAGAGTGAATCTCTCTAACCTGAATCACAAAAAGGTTAAATGATAAATCCAAGGACATACAACTGAATTATAACAGAGCCAAGAAGAATAGATATCTAAATACATACCTTGTTTCCAGAGATGATAGATGATAGATAGACAGACAGAGACACAGAGAATAATAATCCCAGCTAGAGGGTAGAAGAGGTTTGGTTACACTGCAGCACCCCTCAGTTGTCTGGTTGGAATTTATCAGCTCTAAATTTCACACCCCTTTAAGAAGGACCCCATTTTATTTTTGTAAAATATTTGGATAGATTCTCTGTGGAATGGCATACCCCACAGAAAGTGTGGGCTTTTTCAGTTTCCTAATTCATTTTATATCTTTTCCAATCTTTTCAATGTACTCATCCAAATCCTAAATCAGGAGTTCCAAATGGAAGAGCCACCATTAATGTAGAAGTCAGGAGTCAGTAGAATATCTTCAAAATATTTAAAAATTTAAGATAAATTATGTTTTTACTAAGAAGTATGAATTATCATGGGACTTTTGATTTCCAAAAAAGACAAATATTAAGAGAGGTTATACAAAGATACATCTTTTTATAAGCTTTTTTACTTCTATTTTCTATAAGTAATGTCTCTTAAGTATGCACTTTTATACATGTAAGGTGTGTTTTAAATTTTAAGGAAAATGCATTTTGAAACTTTATGAATATATAATCTTTAAGTAAACCTCATTAATTTTCTTGGTTTCTGATAAAATCTAGGTATCTATTTACTCTTGTTTTTGATATTCTATGTTGATGGGAAAATTTTATTACAATGAAAAGCTATTTAAGTTTAAACACACATACACAATTAAGGTTCAAACTCTAGAAATTGAAGTTAAGAAGTTATACTTTATCCTGTAAAGTCTCAATACAAATTAGGTGAAACCCAGTGATGAAATAAATTGTTGTGTGTTATTTTAAAATATGTGTGTCTATAGAGATAATGCCATTATATATACAAATACACATACATATATACTCTATCAATAATAAAACATTATTGTTTAATTTCAGGAAAAAGGAACTGCAATTATGAATACGATTGATTGCCTTATTACATCAAGGGAAAACATTATTGTTATTTTCCCCCGTCTGATTTATTTTCTCTCATGTCTAATTTTCAGAAGTGCATTTTTTCCCCTGAAATATAAGAATGTTTGCTTTATAAAAGTAACTGTGATGCTGGTTCTTAGGTGTCAGTTACTTTTAAGTGGTTTATAGCTCAGCCTTTAAGGAGGTGCAGAGATTCCAAGAAGTTATGTGTGTGTTTGGCATTTTACGAAACAGAAGTAGAACTGGAGTGGAATCAAATGGACTTGGAAGCTAATTAAAGTGAACAATGGATGTAGAGTGTACTAAAGTCTGTTTTTATATGAGCCCTCTCAAGCAGGGAATGTGTAATGTTGGGAAGGCCATTTCATCTCTCTGGGCTTCAGTTTCCTCATCTCTCAAAGGAAGAGATATAGCCAGTTAAGTTCGCTGGGAAGGAGACTCTGAGCTGGTGATCAGCATGCTCTGGTTTATTATGGAATGTGCTTGGAATCAACACCAGTGGAAAGGAGAGAGAGGAAGCAGAATTTGGCAGAAGGACAAGGTGGACACTGATACAGTCCTATTGGAATACTAAGTAGTCCTAAAGAAATACATATTTTTCCTATTTATTTATGTTTTTCTTCAATAATACATATTTATTTGGATATTAAGACCAAAAAAAATGTGTTTGATATCAGAATGCATCTCATAAATTTACAATGGGATTATTAGTTTTACTCTTCTATTAGCAACAATATGTACACCAACATGAATTTCTTATTGGAAATTGTTTTAATTTATATTATGTAGCATCATTACTTGAAAATTAAAAAATAATGACTATTCTAAATTGAGAGAATGTTTTCATTAAAATTAATCTTACACTATTTCAAAGTTAGAAAGTATTCAATTGACATGACTAGTGAGATTATTTTTAAATATTAATAATTATTATTTTTTCCCCTATAATGACTTCAACTTCTCTTACAAATTAAAATAAGCTTATTTCTACAACTTACACAGAACTCAAGCTGGGCTATAAAAACTGATGTTACAATCCTAGATTTAAAATCTTCAGAATAGTACTTGATTAGTTGAGATTGGTCATATGGGCAGTTTATGAACTATGCAGCCAAACCATGCAAATACAAAGCAAATCAAATCAAAACCAAACACAATAAAACAAATTCTTAATTTTTTTTTTAACTGAAATTTTAAATTTAACTTGCTTAGTACTATGCCACTTTTTCAATTGAACAACTTGAAGGAATCCAATCAGGGTGAATTACCATTCCCCTCCACTTGGGGCAGTATATGCTTGGCTTCTTCAACAATGGTTTCTTTCGTACTTTATCCCTGATTCAAAACTGACAATAACTCAGGCACACAGACAGACAGACATACCCACACAAATAATTAAAATCCATGCCTCCTGGCAATGGATGGAATTGTTATTTTGCTCTAATCTGGCTAATCTATTATCCATTCTTTAATTAAATCATACAAAATAGTGTCAAGTACAGAATGAAGTTTTTAATCACGTTAAACACACATTAAAGGCAACCACACCTTCTGTCTTTGATTTGACATAGCAAATGAGGAAGACAGCAAAATAGCAGAGATCGTGTACTCTTCACATTTGTTTCTTTCTACACCCAACTCATGTTTCTGTTACAGCGACTTGAACTGAGTTTGAATTCAGTAAATGTTATTATATAGAATTCACTGTTAAACTGGAGTAAAATGGAGTTTTCTGTTCTGTTTTTTGAAAATGAAACATATATATTTTTTAATAGTGCAAAATTGTGACTTTTTCAATATCCTACCTGGACTAGGTTCATGAGAGTATCTCTGAAGTGTCCTGAGGTCTCTGAATAAATGTCTTCTTGAAGGTTACTGCTGTATTCTGAGTAAGAAAACATCCATGTTAAAGCTATGAGTTATAGAACCATATATCAATGCACTTTGAATAAGTTATTGCTACTTCCTTAGTTGAGTGGAAAATATAAGAAATACAATCAGCCTGTTGGTATTTCTCTGTCCTTTACTACCTTCTAGTTAGATGAAGCCAATGAACAGTTCACCAAAGAAATCTGACACATAGTACTAATGTTGGCACCAGTCTGTTTTCTTAAAAAAATTCTATCTTCATTCCAAAGTTGAAAAACAACATTGAAAGTCATTTCACATTCTCTAATTCTCAAAATTTAGGATTATAAATTATATTTCCATAGGCTGCTGCTCAGCCCAGAGTTTTTCCCAAGTGCTTTGTCTCACTTTAATATTTTAAGTGAAGGGTCTTACTTCATTCCTCTTGGGAAAGTCTTGTTTTTGTTCAAACGCAATATAGGAGACTGTCTGGAACACTTTCTTGACATTCATTGTCACATAATACATAATGCATTAAACCTTTTTGAAAATGAAGTTAACCTTTCTACTTTTAAAATGTGTAAAAATCTGATTTTGAGGTGGATTACAGTGATTATAAAATTTATATAAAGTGAAGTAGTTACCCATATTTGTACAATTAGCTGAACAGTTATTGTACTTTGCTTTATTTGTCTATACACCTGGTCTCTCTTTGTTAAGAGATAAAATGATCTCTGAACTGCCACACTTGGCAGTTTCCTGTTTTAATATAAACATTCACCTCATAGAAACTTGTAATTATTTTCCTGGAAAATTCGCTTAATTTGATTGTCTAGGGTGTCATTTCATTTGTAATGTTTTTAATTTAAAATTTTTTTTAAATATATATTTTTTTGTTTTTTGAGAGAGAGGAAGGGAATGGGAGAGAAAGAGTGAGAGCCAAAACATCTATCAGCTGCCTCCCGCATGCCCCCTACCAGGGATGAAGCCCACAACCGGGGCATGTGTACTGACCTGTAATAGAACCAGCAACCTTTCGGTGCACAGGACAACACCCAACCAAAGGAGCCACAGCGGCCAGAGCAATTATTTCATTTTTAATACTGTAATCATCTATTTTAATTAGTGAGTTAATTGGTCTTGGGTGAGTGATATTTCAGATACAAGAGTGCCTTAGAAAATCCTTTAAAATACATAAATGAAATTTTATGTTATTTGAAAAATATAAGGTTTATATGTGTGTAAAATGTGTATTTCCTTACGCAAACTGTAGGCTTCTCGCATTTGGAAAATTTCTCCATTTGTTCTTGAAGCTAATATATCAATGAGACAATTCTCTTCAGTGCCTACTCCCTGGAAAGACAGAAAGAGAGAAATATAAAGGCATTTGTATTGGGAATAACTGTACCTTATGTAGTATAAAGGGATATAGCATTCCTGGGATTCTGAGTGGTGGCAGAGGCCAAAAGAAGTGTGCTTGGGTTCAAGATAAGCCCAATTCAGTTATGGCTCTGCTATTTATCAGCTGTGTTCCTTCATTTAGAATAAAACAACATGGGCATTTCTAAATAACATGGAAAAAGATGTTTAAACAATGCTTATGACACTGATTTTGGGGGGCTCAGATATCAGTTCTTTGGCAAGCTGAAATTAGAACCTTGGTCTCTGAATTTCCTAAGGATGTTTAGGGGCCTCTCCCCGCCTTTTCATACATGTGGAATTTTGTACCATTTGCCTAAACATTTGAATTGGGTACTTTCATGTGGTCTCTTACAGTCAAATGCATATACAGGGTGGGGCAAAAGTAGGTTTGGTATGGAAAATAATACAATAATTAGTAAGAATACAAGAATTACCTCTGTGTTTATCATATTCACAACTGTAACCCTACTTTTGCCCCACCCTGTGTTCTTCTTGGATAGTAATTTTAAAGACAGCACATCTTTTTTGGAAAAGCTTCAGAAATCCTTACTATTCTATGAGATATAGATAAAATATTACAGTTTCATCTAAACAGTAACATGGCTTCCTTCTTATAGTTTTTAGTCACATAATTTTGCAAGAGGTAGGAACTGACATATGAAACTTAAAAAAAAGCAAATTTGTTGAAATTCATATGAATTTTGTAAATGCCTATTCTGATCTACAAATATATGATGGTCAAAATTCAGATTCCCTTCTTTTTTTGTTCCTTTCCTCTCTCCTGTCCCACATTGCTCACAGGCTGGAAATCTGGCCATTGGCAGGCATTGTATTGGAATGACTGCAACAGTTCTGCAGGTGTTTAATATCAACATTTGGAAAGATGTAAAAACCCTTTTTTGTCCCCTGTCCCTAGCCAACAAAATCTCTAACAAATCTGTAGTAGATTTATTTCATAGAAATTATTTTCCTGTGAGAAAGAAGATTCTAATCCTTCAGAAGTAAAATTTAGATACATTTGAACAATAGTTTTTGTAAAGGACTAACTTAAAATCACAAAAATATCCAAATAAAGATGCCACCTGTATTTCGTATCTGACTCGGTATCCTATTTTTACTTAATGAGCCAAATTTTTACAAATCATTTCTAGAAGTTCACGTGACATAACATTTCCCCTTAATATATGAATACATACTAGGGAGAGACAATCAAGTAAGTCCCTGACACTTGTTTCCTTTTTTTCCTTTTGGTAGCTCAGCTGGGCCAGTAAATCTGAATTTGTATAACAAAAGAAGAGGCTAATCCCATCCAGTGGACTCTAGAGGCCTCCTCTCCTAACAGGGCCACTTCTCCTGATCACAGAATTTCCACTGTTTCATCTTTGCTCAGATATTCCATTCCCTCTCCCTGATCCCATGCAGCAACATCACAGGGTAGTTTCTTCTTTACCAAAATATGGACCTGGACCTGTTACGGGTATATTTTTGCATCAGACCACTACCTTCATGGCATGCCAGAGTTCATGAGCATCATAAGATGGTGGTGGGTACATGAGGCCAACCATAACATCTTTGAAGTGATCTGAAAGCTTCTCCTTCAAGTCACCAATTAGGTCCTATGAAGGGAAAAGTAAATATTTTTATTATATCATTTACCAACTTTACAAGAGAGATGGAATAATGGCATAGTCTTCTAGTAAAATTTCCTTTTCGTGTCATTTCATTTAATAAGTCTGGTTTTGATTTACGCATATATACATCGATTAGAGGAGGCGATAGACTTGAGGGTTTGAAAATGACTGATGTAATCACATCTTTCCATGTGATGTCATCTGTATGGACATTCTAGTCATATAAGCATGGAACAATATTCTTTTTCTAATCTCAATCCCCAACCATCTTTTGACTTCATTATGAAAATAAATAAAAGTTGAAACCTAAAAACTTTTTTGGTTAGGAGTTCTTAGCTTTCTTGTATGGAATTAATGAAACATTAGTCCTTAAATAAAATACGCATTTTATTATTGTACCGGTCTCTCTTAGCAGGGGTTTCCTGGTTTTACTATTGCCAAAAAGCTTGTGTAAATAATTTAACTAATCTTAGAACTTTCCTCAACTAGCCACATTAGTACATTTATTTAAAATATTGAAAGTTAAACACTTATACAGAAAAACAAGCATGCTGAATTTTTGTCCTTGGAAGATGTATATAAAAGTTTGAAATTAATTGTTTCATTTTGACTTTTATTTTATTTTTAGTATAGAATGGGTACTTTAAAACATATATGTTAAATTCATATTTTGTAGGGTTACAAAGATATCTGTTTAAAATTTATCATTTCTTGCTAAAATGTATAAAGTACATTCAATGTTACTTTAAAATATGCAATATTTTAGTTCTGGGTGGCTCAACAATAGAATGCAAGTGAAAGATTCCCAGAGAGGCATAATGCTTTATATAATAAAAACAAGTTATAATTTTTATTTTATTTGTTATAACTTGACAGCACCTCTCCTATAATGTGATTTTCTTTTTCAGCAAATAAAAGCACTCACCCACATGGTGTTAATTGGTAACACAGAGTCTGCTGAATTTTTGCTTGGGTCAGTGCAATTCATTTAATGAACAATTATGTCCAGAGTTGTGTTAGGTGTTTGGAGTACATATAAAACCATAAAATCTCCATTTTCATGCAGCTTATGTTCTACTTAATTCCTTTATTATTTGCTAGTGACTTTTTCTAATTCCTTTACCAAATAGCTGTTAAGGTGCTATTATGAACCAGGCACCCTTCTAGGTACTGGGGATATAGCAGAAAAGAAAACAGATATGAACATTTGAGCTTGTAAAGCTTATATTCTCATAATCACGGGAGCTCAATATTTTTTGAATGGAAGATTCCAGTTACACAACAGGTATTTATTTAATACTGTTTCCCAGACACGGTGGTAAGTTAACATAGTCCCTGTTTTCAAGGAGATTCACATTTCACAAACCCAGGGATAGCAAAGGTAAAAGTGTGAGCTAATCTACGTTCTAAGGCTTTCAATAGAAACTTTCACATAAGATCCTGAAGCAGTGGTACAAAAGGATTAAAAGAATTCTGGTGAGGGATCACAATGGATTTATAGGGTTAGGGAAGTGGGACAAGTTTAGACAAAGAAGGACAAGTAGCATTGGGATAGGAGGTAGAGAAGCCATTTGTGATGGTTCATTTTGTGTCAACATGACATTTTATGTGTCAATGTTTGACCCAGCTCTTTGGCCAAACATTATTCTAGATATCTCTGTAATTTTTTTTTATTTTTATTTTTATTTTTTTTATGAGGTTAACATTTAAATCAGTAGACTTTGCGGAAAGCAGGTTCTCCGAAATGTGGTGGGCCTCGCGCAGTCAGCTTAAGGCCCGAATAGAAACAGACTGCCCTCCCTGGAAGGAGAGACTTCCTCCAGCTGAGCCCCTTTGCAACCACACCGCAAGCCCTACCCAGCACGTGGATTTTCAGATTGCCGCTCTCTGCAATCGCGTAAGCTCACTCCAGATCCTCTGTCTCTGTTTGTGCCTGTGATCCACACAGACAGGCTCGGCAAGAGAAGAGGGGGAGGAACGCTGAGAGGTTTTTGGTGTGTGAAGGGGCAGGGAAAGGATGGCCTGGGATGCGCCGGGCGGCAGGCGCGGCTCAGGTAGTGGAAGCAGCAGCCGGCCTGCAGCTCAGCGGCCGCGCAGCTCTCTTCCCAGGGAAGCCTGATCTCGCGCGATCTTGAGCGTTCTCAGGGGCCGCGGCGCATGCCTGTCGCGAGAGCCGCCTGCGCGCCTCGGACGGAGGCCGGCGGCTGAGACCCCCCCGTGGGCAGCGCGGGTCCG